ACATATATATATATATATATATATATATATATATATATATATCATATATACACGTACAACATATAAATATATTTTCAGAATGATACGTCACGCGTGAACGTTTCAGTCGAAGATGTAAACGAATGGGAACCTCGATTCCGATATCCCCGATACGAATTTCACGCTCATTCCGCGAGAGAAGGCTCCGTCATAGGTAAATAAGCGATTTTCTTCTCATAGACTTAAATCAAAATTCAATTTTTATTACTTGATATTCAAAGAACACGTAATTTCTTAGGAAAATTAGAAACGGCTGATGGCGATAGAGGAGATAACATCAGTTTATCTCTCAAAGGACAAGATGCGAGGTATAAGATTATAGTTATATATAAATTCAATTACAGTTACATAAAAATATATTATACTTAAAAAAGATATACTTGATATTAATTCCAAAAAAAAAAGATATTTTTACTAAAATAAGAATACATGTTTTCTATGCAAAGTGATTATAATTATTTTTAATTTTAATTATTTTAATTATTTTAATTTTAATTATTTTAATTAAATTACTTTCAGATCCTTCGAGATTAGAGGTAATGGAGAACTGGTGCTAAGATCTTTAAGTTCATTTAACGGAACTTTGGCTCGATTTATGGCGATAGCTTCTGACACTGGAAAACCATCTAGGTAGTTACAAGTACGATTATTTAATTTAATGTTAGTGATCACTCTCCAGATGTTAAAATTTACATTCGTTTGTGATTTTTTTAGATCCAGCACCGTTCCAGTCATCGTTCACGTACCAAATGGCGGTTCATTGCCGATTGCTGCGAGAGCTGCACCTGCTTGGCTCGGGAGTAGTGTACTGTTAGTTGCAATATTCGGCGCAGTTTTGGGTCTTCTTGGTGTTGTTATACTCATTCTCATCCTTTACATTTACAAACAGTGAGTAAATATGTCGAACACAATTTACAATTACATAATAATAACATATTAACACACAGTAAAAAATATTTTGTATTTGTGTCAAAATCGAGCCTTGTTAAAATTTTTGTGTTAAATAATCTACATATTTACATGTAAATTTAACACATGTCTACTATGTTAATTGACCTTAATAAATATAAAATGTAAAATTATTAAAATGATTTAAGAAACGTGTTAAAATAACACAATTCGTACGTATTTATTCAATATGTTAAAATTTACACAAAAAAAATGTTGGTTTTACTCTATAACAAGAGTGGAGATGACTTGTTATTATTCTTTGTGTGGTTTTCGGCACAGTCTCGAATTTGACGCGTCTCGACATATTATTTTATCATAAAAATTATGTTAATTGTAACACACAATTAACTTCAAGTTAAGATCAAAAGTACATTTCTTTTTTCTTGAAATATTAACATAGTGTCGGTGTTACTATTTAACACATCCGTATTATGTTAAATTAACACAAAATTTTGAGTGGACCGTTTGGGACATGCGATTTATATTAAATTCAACACATCAATTTTTTCCAACAGTGTATTAATAGCATGTTATATTTACAAATATGATCATTACTGTTATGCATGACTCTCTAATTATGTTACGTTCTTCCAAATCTATTCTACATTCTACGTTTCTTTCGAATATTTCAAATCTTTAGTTTGCAACTAATAAAAAAATTTATAATAAAGAAAAGAGATACTTAAAAATAAATATCTAAAAACTTTTACTAAATTAAGAGAAAATGTATCGATATTGAAATAATACATGCTTAATTTTGGTTTTTTTTTTTTTAAGTCAAAAAGCCAAAAAGTGGTGGTTCGGTCAGCTCTGTGGGTACTGGATATCGCGAAAAATCACCGGTTCCCTCAGCTCTAAGTCCAACTCCGCAAGTGTTAGGTGCCAACGCTCTTCAGGACGTTTTGGAGGGCCCGCGAAATCGGCGTCATGATATCGACGGCAATGAAAATGATAATGTCGATAGTCGCAACGAGATTGATAATCCCGTTTTCGGAGAAACCAATGAGAGCTCATACAGCGCTACGATCAAAAGTTTGTTTCTATATTATAGAGCTCTAAATTGTATTATCAAAGATTTAAAAAAACATCCCTTCCTCATCTTTTATTAGGTATAGCTTCGGCAAGACAGTTACCGCTGTACACCAGGCATAAAGTGGCGCCTGCTCCAAATCCACCAGCTTTATCAGCTACTTCAAACATTCCCAATATCGGTGGGCTGGTGCAGAATATGAATGATTTGAGTGCTAGAACGAATCTGGATGCTGGATCCCACGACTCTTCCAATTATTCGGGAGACCCTCCAGATTCTCTGATGCCAGCGTGGCCTGCTAGTTCAGCTTTGCCAAGAATTAAAAAATTATCTTGGGACGATGACGATAGGGTGGGTAGTTATCTCGCAGAAGATTTATTTGCACACAATTTAATATAATAATAATAAATTCATTCAACCTTTTATCTAAATTTCGCAATGAATGACAAATATAAGGAAAAAGTTTTACAATATTTCATAAATTAATTTGATACAAATAGAAATTTTAAAGAATTTTGATAATTGTTAAACAAATTTTATTTATGTACGATTTAAATAACATTTCATATGTTACAACACCAACTATTTTTTAAAGAACACCACTGCACTTGACTACCGCAAGAACAATTACCAAGTTTGCTAGAAAAGACTTTATGCAATCCTAAACGGCAGATAAATGAGGAATGCAACAGAGACAAAAGTATTCATTATTTTCCAGACCGTGGACAGCGTCGAGGTCGCGGCGGAAACGCGAACCGGAGACAATCAAGCTGGCAACGAGAGGCTCAATCTCACTGTGTACTTTTAATGATTCATTATTTTGTAAATGGAACGAATGTCCAATACTGATGGCGGAAGACTGTTGTAAGCGCTGTTTGATCACACCAGTTAAATAAAATCTCGTTGATGTCGAAACGTTCTGTAAATGAACTTTAAAGCATCGTGACGCAGCGTGACCTTACACGCATGTTCGGTCCACAGAATATCTATGTTATCTGCGCAGTTAATTCTCATCATCCTGAATAGATTACATCCGTTATCTACATGATGTGACATCAATCTCCTATATTATAAGTAATCGTTAAAAATTGCTAGAATCATTAGAAGTTGCTAGAAATCGAACAATAGAAAAATGTTATAAAGAGCATAAAAGACTTAATGTTAAATATTAAAATGAAAGGAAGCAAAAAAAAACGAATTGCATCATAACGATAAGTCTGATATCCTGTAAACGTTACTAATACATAGGAAAAAAGTAACAAAATAATTTTAAATAAAATAAAATAATTTTATATTTTTATCATTAATGTTGAAAGACGTATTGCAATTCTATAGTTATTGAATATTTTTAATTGCTCTGTTAATAAAATCAATAAGGTACACTCAATTCTTATGTTTAAAATATTGTTCTTATGCATACATTTAAATTACCACAGGTTCCTAAACTATAAATTTCATTTTAATTCGAGAAAATGTTCAACTATAGTGTTACGTACATCCCACAAAAATGAAAGTTTGACGCATAAAAATTTCAAGTAGTCTAAATCGCGTTATTATGTAAAATAACAGTTTACTCTGTGACTTCTGTTCATTAAGTAACAAATGAAGTTTCCGCACATTGTTGAAACCATCGATATCCGAATATAGGAAATTGTGCCAGTAGGTCGATCTTCGCGAATAATTACACAACGAGTAAATGAGTGAAAATTTGCAGGACTTGAAATTCATGGAAGTGCAATTTTTAAAAATGATAAAACTAATAGTAGACATATAAAATTATTGAAGAGAGAAATGCATCTCGGAGCAACAAGTAATTTTTTAAAAAGTTAAAGAGTTTTTAATACCTTTTTATATTTTTTCCTTTATGCAAAAATATTTCTCTTTTATAAAAATCAATAATAATTTTTATAATAATAATTATAAAAGAAACTTTTGATAGTTCCATATAAGATATGTTCTAAATTTTAATATTATTACAGAAATTGTCAGAAATTGCAAAGAAAAAATTGATTTTAAAAGTTCATATCAATATTAATTCAATATTAATTTGTTATCATAGTTATCAAAAATTATTTTATATTTGTTGCTTCTATCTATATATTAAAAGAACATTAGACGAGAGCATTGAATAAACATACTGTTCTTATACTTTTTATTATGTATTTCTCATGATATTTTATTACGAGAAACATATTTATATATATTTTATACATATTTTATATCTTTTGTCAATCTTGTTCGACTGAATTGTCATCGCAATCAGTAGCTCATCAAAACCCATCTGAGATGGGCTTGCCGAAGAAAGTGACTTGACTTCTAAGGTGGGGAGAAAGTGACCTAGAGAGGTCTTGGCTACGACTTCGACATCGTCCTCGAATCTTTTCTTCTCATTCGTCCATGACGTATGATTGGGTGTGGAATACTCGTGATACAAGTGAGAATATCTCTAAAAAATTGATTATTGTACATATACTACGTGAGGAAAGGTAAGACATTTACATTTTGACATGTGAATTCTACGGTGGTCTTTTAAAAATATTTAAATACTTAGTTTTAAAGAAATCCATTTTTTTCATTTAAAATATCTCGTTATCATATATAAATTTTATAAACATAAAATATATTTATAAAAAATATATTTTTTTAATAATATATATTTTTGATTAAAAGTGTAAAATTAAAGATTAAAAGTAATAATGAATTTAACTAATATATTAAACTATAATTTAAAGATTAATAAAAATATAAATTAACATTATTATTATTAATGTTATTAATATTTATTATTTTGAGTTATTTATAACATATTTATTGTTTTGTTTTGATCTTTCAATATCCAATATTGCATGTTGGATTTACAATATTCTAACACAATTTCTATATATATGTGTGTGTGTGTGTGTGTGTGTGTGTGTGTGTGTGTGTGTGTGTGTGTGTGTATATATATATTTAATTGAAGTAATAGACCTTGCAATAGATTGGATTTCGTATAAACATGGGAATTTTAAATATATCCGTATTCATTGAAATTTCAAGGCTAAATGACATTGCTGGTCATTTCTATAAATGTGGCTTGTAAAAAAGAATTGTCAATTGTCTATCGTTTCCGGCATTCATTATACTAACTTCCCTAATTTCATTCATTACATAATTACTATTACAAGCACAATAAAATATATGCATCGGAGCATTAACTTTTCTTAAAAGAACTACTTTTTTAAAAGAAATATTGAAAATATTTACATGCGTTAATTTGCTGGAAATATTAATAAATTATTAAAATGTAATAATAAGAATTAATTAAAATTAAATAAGAATGCATAGGAATAATAATGTATTTTATTTAAAATTTGGTACATTTTAAATGATATAATAAAATAATACGTGACAATATTTTCATTTTAAAACATTTTGTTTCTTTATTCATATAATATTATAATATTATATTAATATTATGCTTATTTTTAAATTTAAATTTTTAAACTTTAACTTTTAAATTCTCTTAAATATCGCCAAAAGGTCATTCTTTTTATAAATAAAAGAATTATTACATGAATATCAAAAATTTTCAACATACTCGTTTGCATCCGGGTATTTGCTATTTCAACATGCCGCTGTAAACTTTCCTGGAGAAAGTCAGAGATACCGCGAACATTCAAGTGAAAAACGAAGCGCTTTTATTTCATTTACTTTACATTTCGCGGAAGGTTGAACGTCGGCCTTTCAGTTCCTGCATCCAAGATCTTATCTGCGCGGTATTTCTTCGATCTCAAAACCATGACGACAAGACAGACGAGCGTGAAATTATCTTCTTCAATTACATTTGTCATGTTGATAATGACAATTGTAAATGTAGTATTTGGTACGTATTATTATTTTACATGCAATGTTTTAACAATTTATATTAAAAAAACAGAAAAATAAAACTAATGTTATCTATAATTGCGTAATTAAAATTTTAATAAAAAATTGACAAGATTAATAGGAAAAATATGCAAAACATTATA